AGCCTAGATAAGCGGAGGCTCATGTGGGTATGATAATTTTTTTTACTCAAAATTTTTTTAAAAAAATTTAGATAATATAGAAACTGTAACACTTTCAAGAAGTAAGCCCGAGACTGTTGGGAGTTCGCATAAGCATTTGTTCATACATTCTTCTTTGCTTTTATTATGCATTTCCCCACCTGCATGTCTTGACAAATCACCTAGCCTATGAGGGTGCAGATCTATTAAGAAAAATCTGTGTCATCTATAGGATAAAACCTATTTTTAAGCCCTTTTAAAACTATTTCATTTCAATTTTAAGCATTTATCGAGTCAACTAGCATGCATTGCATTAAAATCAATTTAAAAGTGAGTCCACAATTTTAATTGTATCTGTCTTTAGCATTTTCACCCCACATAAGTCAAGGAACCACTTAGGACAAGCTCTAGATGTCGGTCCTAATTCCCAAAATCTTTAATAAAAATGTTCCTACCATTCTTTCATAAAATGACTAGGCTCATCGATTTTAAATCGACTTAGTGATTGTTGGCTCCCTAATCAAGACTAGGGTAAGTCCAGATTTTGCACTATATTAATAAGGTTTGGGCCATATCGTATGGTGTCCAATCTATATTTAGGATCCATGGCAGATTTTGAATCATAAGACTCCAACCTCTAGGACTATAATCACAAATTTCTAATAAATTATTCAACTTAAATTAAATATTCTCTCAATCCAAAATTTAAAGCCCAATACATAGCTTAGGTTAGGGCACTTTTGAATTATTTCAGAACCCTAAAGTACCTCCTACCCCTCATTATTTGATTCCAAAAATAAGTGTGTAATCTTGCTATAATCTCACTTGAAATTCTAATTTCACCTTCCTTGATATCATTCTTAGAAATCCTCTAAATAAAATTTCTGTTGTTATTTTAATATAGAGTATTCGTAGGAGACTTAGGTTTCCTATGATGTAATTAACTATGAGGGCTTGCGCTCGTAGAAAATTTAGAACCCACATCAATTTTTTAAAACCCAATTAATATTTCTTTTAGGAAATCAAACATATGACGATCGTCATCGTTATAATTAAACGATTGCTAACGATTGATATTTTCTTTCTTCGGCTAGATATATCATGTGTTAATATCGATTCAAATATGAGATTAACGATTACTTCTCTTGATTATCGTAGTCGGATATTTGACTAAACTTTATTTTGATCCTCTGAAGTCATTTGTGGCTCTCCCTTAAAATCATTCTATAACATTCAATAGAAAGTCCATAATTCCGGGTCTGAACCCGTTAGGAGAATTTTTCTTTGCCTCCCAAGATGGTATATTTTCCCTAATAGTCTGTTCAACTCCATAATTGAAATTTAAATTTAATTCCCAATTTTTTTGAAGAAATTTCATTTAGATTTGTTTTACATCTTATAAGGAAAATCACCAATTCAAACCCCATCATTAAGATGGAAAGGATCCCCCGAATAGGTGCCATATACTATTATTCTTGTACATATAGATACTCCACCACCATTAAAGCATTCCTACGACACATTTATCTAACTCTTTGAAAAAGAGTTCTTTGGAGTTCATGAGAAATGATGTAGCATGTGGAAGTGGTTCTTTCACTAGGGATAGGGCTAGGGAAAGAGCATATAAATATCGAACTATGAAGAACAAGAACATATACAAGAGCAAATGAAGAAATAGTTATGACTTTAGTCTAATATTTTTTGTGTTTTTGCATGTATTTCGTGTTTTAAGTGTTATATAGACTTCATGTTAATGTAATTTAGTTTTTTAGAGTTTTACATTTAAGTCTAAGTCATGTTATATAAAGCATAAAATGACTATGCTAGTATGCATAAGAGACGGTTGGTGGTTGTAGGTGGTTACTAGTGAGCCCACCCTCTCTGTCCTTCTTTCCCTCCTTTATTTTAATTTTAAAATGAAGGAACACATCTCTTCACTATATTTTCAATTGTATAAAATGTTCTAAAGTTCAAATGAATATAGATTGGTTATGCTTATGGGTTTTTAGAGAAATTTTCAAAGGGCTGGAAGGCTTGGCGGCTGGCCATTCCAAGGAGGTTTGGTGATCTTCTTTGATTTCCTACTTTGGTCAATTGGTTTAAATTTATTCAATTTCTTTCTACTGCAAGTTTCTATCATTGTGTTTTAATATGCATAATCTGTCATAAAAATCTATAAACCTTAATTATTTCCCCCTAATTTATGTGTAATCTATCATTGCGTTTGATTTTCTTTCTACTCCAAGTCTAATCCTACATACTAGACCCAACCAATAAAATCTATCTTTATTGGACTAGTCATGTTCCTCTTATTGTTTAATCAATCAAAACTCCATAAAATTCCACCAAAATTATCAGATCAATAGCTCACATCCCATATTTCAATATTCTTAAATTGATTTGGGATTATTCTAGCCAAATTTCTAAAGAACAAATCAGCCTAGTTTTCAATATTGTGTAATATTTCTGAATGTATGTGTTTTCAACACATATAATATCCCAATAAAATGCTAAAATTCCATAAAAAACTCAAAACCTTTAAATCACACCTTGGATGTCTCCTCGATTATTTTCAAATGAAATTATTGAATTTCACCCATTTTATAGGAAAACACAACAAAATCCCTAACATTGGTATGTTTTGGACATAACTAACCTTAATGTCCTTTTAGAGTATTTTTGGACCACTCAAACACTTTCCAAAAATAAACTAGATAACACCACTTTCAAATTAAGGCTTCATTTGGGATGGCTTTTTTATTGCTTTCTAAAACGGAGTTTTAGTACAATTTTTTTTATTTTTGTACTAAAACTCCGTTTTAGAAAGCAATGAAAAAACCGTCCCAAACGAAGCCTAAGTCAAAGTTTTCTAAATTATAATATCTGTATAAGATGAATCATTGGTAGAGGTTGGATTTACATATATGAATAGATTATAGAGCTTGTGAGCTACCTCTAAATTTTATCCACTTCAAAGTAACCCTCTATAAAAATTGATTATATCTCTTCTAATTATATTAAAAGAGTCACACACATCCACCAATTGATCATGTGAGTGAACAAAGACCCACCATCCAACCCTTATTATGACTTTTACTAATCTTATTGAATATCTACAAAATATCTATATAGACATAAAAGAGTATATAAGCTCCTCATAATTTAAAGAGTATATAAAAATATTTTAATATTTTAAAAGATTTTTTCTTTCTCTATTCTTTTTTTTTATAGAAATATATTTATAATAAATAAAGGATCCTCATGCCTATCATGTAGTTTGTTATAAATAAATAAATTGTCCTGTGGAGTTATTCAATATATTCAATTTACTGTTAATTTTATATTATTAATATTAATTTTAATTTATTTCAATTTTCAATAATAAATCAGTAAATTATAACCAATTTATTTATGAGAATGAATAATATATATAAATGGATATATATAATTGACTCGCATTGAGATTCCTTTTTTTCCTTTTATGACGAGGAATCGGTCCGCTGCCAGAACGCTTGGCTTCGTCGATCCCCTGTTCCTTGCTCGCTTGGGCCTACGAGCCACCCACGCCATTCCACGTAGTGACATCTTACTCACATACGTCATCTTTGTGGAGCCCCCACTAAAGGGGCGACTTTATAACTCCAACGAGGATAAAACGAAACCTCAGGAATGGGAGGTTTCCCATCCGAGCCATAGCCCACTCAACCAAAGCTAAACATCGATGGATATTTGAGAATTCCTTATGAGGCTAAGAAAGTTAAAAAGAATTGTTTTTTATAATTTTTTTTTGGAGTAGCACATTACCTTCTTATTTAATGGGAGGGCGACAGATCTTGGAATTATATGAATTCAATTAATTCTTAGTTTTACCCCACATTTTTGAAAACCAGCCAGATCTCGGCGGGTCAGACCTGGGTTGCCAGTATGTTTCAACCGTGAACCGGTCTGAGGCCTGGTCAGTTCATCCTTAAAATCGGTTGTGCATAAAACGGCTAGAACCGGCTTGAACCGCGGTTCAACGGAATCGTGAAGCCGTTCCCGATTTTCTAAACTGGCGATCCAAATTTTTTTAAAATAATTAAATAAATTATTTAATATTAAATAAATGACAAACTTAATCATTAAATATAATATTAATTTTAATTAAAACTCTTAAATAAATATTTAAAAATATGATTATATAATTAGTTGAAACATTTTCACATGGCTTCACAAGGCTTCATATGAGCTCCTATCATGTGTAAAAGTAAAAAGCTATATAAACTATGCAAAGCAAAACATCACAAGTGATGTGAGACTAAGGCTGTGTTTTGGGACGGCTTTTTTACTGCTTCATAAAGAACTTTTTAGTATAAAAATTTTAATTTTATATTAGAAAGTAGCTTTATGAAGCAGGAAGAAAGCTGCCCCAAACGAAGCTTAAACCATACAAAGCAAAAAGCTATCTTTGGTTTCATGTGATGTTTAATATAAATTATACAAAGCAAAAATTCTTTTTTAATGATTTTTTAATTAATTTTTAATATGAATAATATTTTATTTTATTTTTATTCCATTTATTTTTTATATATTTGATTATATATTTATTTTTATATATGAATATTTTTTTTGAAAATTGTACTTTTTTAGTTAATAATATTTTATTTTTTCTATTTAAAATTTTATATTTAATTATATATTATAAATAATTAATTTTTACTGTGAGTTTTTTTATGTATTTTATATTTATAGTTTATATCTAAATATGTAATATAAATTAACAATAATTTATATTAAAGTATATTGTTATTATATTTCATTATTATTTTAATTTTATTAATTTTTATAATAATATTATTATTTATTACGTTATCCGGTTTGATCCGTGAACATCTCCTCCTTTCTATTTATTATTCGGTCTGATTTTCACAACTTTGATTTTATCTTGATCCAATTCCTTATGAGCTTGTTAGTAATTAATTAATCTCATCTTCCAAGGAAACTCTTTTCAAGACACGGTACTTTCCCTTTCCGTGCTCGCTGAAAGAATCAGCAAAATATCCGAGGGAAGATAAGAATCAACAAAATACCCGAGGGAAGACAGAATAATCCAAAACCTGCTCCCTGACTCCTTACCCTCATGGAATTTGAAAATCCAAACTTCGGATTTGGATGTGCGATCAAGATGGCTACAGTTCCTTACCTTTCTCCTTCCGTCGAAGAACTAATCGCGCGGATTTGCAACGCTCAATCCCTTTCGCCCCCGGACTACAAGGCTCGCCTTCGACTAGTGGAGGTTGGCGAAGCGGCTGCTCTCCGGATTATGACGGAATTAGCTTCTCAAAAGATTAGGAACTTGTCGGGTTATATCATTTTCAAGTGTAACAACTCGGAGTTTGCACTGGCTCGGAACGCTGAGTCTATCGCCACTCAAGAGAGCGCTTGCTGCTCGGGTCCGCCGACTCCTCGTTCAGCGGTTAGCAGAGGTAATTTAAATTTGGTGTTTTTATGAAGCTTTCTTCAGCCGAATTAGTTAAACGTTTGATTTGTTCTTGCTGCAGATGCTGCTGCCGGTGAGGCTACATCGCCAGTATGTGCGATGCCGCAGGTGCTATATAGGATTCCCCCTAGTGTGCCGAAATCAGGCAATGTGGTGAAAGCTTTAGGTCATATGGAGTTTCGTAAAGCTTTTTTGATCTTGAGTTATTGTGGCGGGTGAGTTCTGCTTTTTCTTAGGAGTGTTCGTTCTGTCATTTGCCCTCATTACGAGCAAATTTATCGTTACGATGATGCTTACATTTTGTTAGACTTGAGTTTTGACGTAAAGTATGTGAACTGCCATGGTTGCTTATTTTGTTTTGGATTGACTACTCATATGCATGAATGAAACTCGCTAATAATAATTGCTCATATTTTGAATTTACTTAAAATTGAAAATAACATACTTCTACTTGGGGAATACTTATTTGAAATTAATCCAAATAATTGTGGAATTGATTATACACACACATACACACAAACACACATGCATATATATATATATATATAAGCAATCACGGTGGAGCAAGTTTCTATCATGCGCCTCTGTTCGGATGCCTCGACCGCTTTTTTAATCGATGCTAATGACATATGCTTTTGATGACATAGCTGTGCATTAGCTTCCCTTTTGCTGCCCTTTAGCCGACCTTTAGTTGCCCTTTAGTTGCTCTTTATCTGCCCTTTAGCGGCCCTTTAGCTGTGCTTTAGCTTCCCTTTAGTTGCCCTTTAGCTGTGCTTTAGTTTTCTTATAGTTGTCCTTTAGCTGCCCTTTAGCTGCCATTTTTGCTGGTGCGCTTTAGTTGTCCTTTTTGCTCATTCATTAATTTATGAATATTTATCCTTTTATGTTTATGAAATCATTCACATTGATAAAATTTTTTCTCTACATAAACAATTTCATACATATTCGTCCATGTTCATACGAAATAATTAAAATAAACTGAAATACATGTGGTCATAAGCATAATAAAGATGAAGTGCAATAATAAAACATTTACTAATTCTTATAACCTTGTTTGGGTATCTCACATCGCTAGGAATTTATTCTCCTAGACTTTGTCTACCTTTTCACTTGTATATTATCTCAATTGCACTCTTTCTCATTCCATAAAATCCTTTTCCTTTCCTTTTAAGTCCTCTTCTTTAATGTTTTCTGTTACCAGTTCAGCCTTAACCTGTTTTTAACTACCATAAGCAAACAACAATACTTCCCGTATTGTTTCTTGAATTTGCATCAACTAAAAGTAATAGCCTACTTAGATAAATAACAAACTACACTTGGTTTCAGCAAAATAAAGTTTTTAACCACTAACTAAAACATTTGCCTAATTTACCTTACATTAATTTGCTGGAAAATATTTATGGAAATCTTTCCATAGCATTTCACGGCTTGCAAGTCCTTCGCACCCTAAGTCAGCTGATGGAAAATGGGAGAAGAATACTAATGCTGCATAACTGAGGGAAATTCCAGCCCACTATATAGGATTAATGCCTTTTGTTCAGATTACTTTATATTATAATCTCTAGTGTTTTTCACACTACAGGCTAGTGATTTTTCCACTGTAGGCTTTCCAAAAATTTTCAGCCGTAGGATATAATCCAACCAATGCATGGCTTGGTTAGTGGAATGTAGAGGCTCTAGTGGAAATGAAAAAAAAATTGTGATATATGTAATAGTTATTTCTTATACTAGTTATGTATATACAATTTACTTCATAAGTAACATATGATTCAATTAATATTTAAAGAAAATTTATACTTGCCTTTACTTAAATATTTTGGGTATTATAGGGCAGAAGACCATAATCTCCATTTTGGTGAATTGGCATCCTTAGTGGTGACTTTGATCCACCCTTGACTTTTCATGCATTGATCACTCAACCCTCAAATTTTTAGAACTAGGTGATATTATAAAATTATATTGTGGCTTTAGCTATCATGATAGGTTGAATCATCTCTAGCATTTGGTGTTTAGAACCTTGAGAGGCATCCTTGGAATTCTAAACGCCTCTGTATAGAAATCAAGGGAGGTTGCTTGAGGTGTCCTACGTCCTATTTGTCTTCTAGGGTTGATTCGATTAGTTATGGCTGCTTGTTGACGCCTAGAGAGTTTGAATGGTGGGTGTTACCAAGTAAGATCAATAGGGGGCGATGGTGGTGTTACTGGATGCCATATTGCATTAATCTTTCTGCGACATTAAGCGCCTGCACCATTAGCCAGGGCATTCTAGTAAGTCCCAAAAATTTTCAGGTATAATTAAGTATTATATTTTAAAGTTTATTCTAAAAGTTTAATAAATTAGTATTAATAGTAATTAATTAACATTAATGACTGTTAGTAAAAGAATTTACTTTAAAGAAATAAATTATTTAACAATAGATAATACAAGACAGTAATTTAAAGGTTTTCTTATTTATGAAGAGTTGCATTATTTGGCAAAATCCCATTAGAAGGCTGAAAATGGGTATGAATTCAGTTAGGTGTGTGTGTGGGCCCTTCCTCATAGTTATCCTTTTGTTTGGAAAGGCTGAAAATGGATTTGTTTCACGAAAACAAAAAAAAAATCCATTATCTGTTTTGCTTTCACGGAAGTCGTCAAACTGGATTCCTGTAGTGAGTTTCGGTCAGTGCATAGAGAGGAAGTTGGCTATATTGCTTTAAAGAACTTATTTCAAAATTGAAAACAGAATTCGGCTACACTGCTTTAAAGGAATTTGGCTTCAAGCAGAAATTCTATAGCAGCTTTTAGGCGTATATTCGGCACAGGAGGTGTTTGTACATTGGAAAGTCAGCACGGTACATTGAAGGGAGGCTTATGCAATACAAGAGAGTTCGGTTGTGCAGGAATTACCATATATTATCAGTATAATTGAATGGAATTTTATTTGAATATTGTTATCAAGATTGAAAGTTAATTAATCAGATTCTTATAATAAATTGTAGTTTGATGTGAGTGTACAAATTAGTTGAAGGATCAATAAAAATTAGTGTGGTGTCTTGGAGCAGTGGAGAGAAAGAATAGAGAAAAGAATAACAGAAAGGAAGAAGGAAATTTAAGTGAGAAGAAATCAGGGTAAACTATTTTGGTAACATGCATAGTTATATGGATTTCCAATTTGTAGTAAAATTTCTTAAAGATGTTGTATCTTATGGCAGTGCACTTAGAGTAGACCATGCACCTGTAGGACCTAATGCTACTAATGTAATCTCAGGGAACTTAATGCAAATGTAAATGATGAGTATGATGATGCATATGATGGAAAAGATGAGGTCTATGGCGGGATCTGCAACGCTTAGTGTTTCACCTATTGTTACACTAGTCATTCCTACAACTCCTAGTAGTAGTGCAATTGCTGCGGCAAGTGACCCTATGGGAGCAGAAGCGGATAAGCATTTAAAGCTATTTCAGACTTTAAAACCTACATTGTTTAAAGGAGGAGTTGATGCTAGAAGTGCTGAAGACTAGATCATAAGAATTTATAAAATTTTAAATGGAATGAGATGTCCTGAGAACCTGTGGGTGTCCCTGGTAATCTTTATGTTAGATGGTGAAGCTAAAAGGTGGTGGAGGGGATAACGTTTGGAAAAATTCAAAGGTAGATTAGAAGATCAAATTATCTAGGAAGATTTGAACATGGTTTCAGGGAATGATATGTTCCTTCATCAACAAGATAGGCAATGGTAGAAAGTTTTGTAATCCTAAAGCAAAGAGTAAAGTTTGTTATTCAGTATGAAGCAGAATTTACATCTCTATCAAAATATGCTTCTCAGCTTATTAGCACTCTAACTGAAAATTGCTATAGATTTTTGAAAGATCTAATAGATTTATTGAGACAACCATTAATTCCTCTTCGTATAAAAGATTTTGCTGAATTAGTGGAAAGTGCCAGATTGTTGGAAAATGATATAGAAGTGGTCAAACAGAAATGAGAAAATGATGGTAGAAAGAGAAAAGGTGCTTACATGGGAGGATCATCAAAAAGACAGAAATTGCAGCAGAGTCAACAATAGTAGTTTATAAGATTACCTGCAATACCAGTTTGTGTGAAAAATCTCATCCAGAAAAATGTCTGATGAATTCAGGAAAATGTTATTTGTGTGGGGAACTAGGACATCAAGAAAAACTGTCCAAAGAATGTTCAAGGAGGCATATAATTTAATGAAAATCAGAGAACAATTCAATACAGAGGTGTCAGGCCAACCTGCTTTAAAGATAAAAGGAGAAATCTCAGGTGAAGCAGCCAGACCAGCTTAAGCTAATTATGATTTTGAATGCAACTAAATAATCAAAGGTCTTCTGTAACTCTATATATAAGCATAAATTTATTCCTTTTGCAATAGTAGAAAAAATATATATTTCTGTATTTCCTGTGAAATATAAAATAACATTTACAAAACTCAAAAACTAAACACAAGGAACATCACCTTAGCTTAGAGCTTTTATAGATGCAGGATCATACTTCACTATTTTGTAGCTATGAAAGCTATCTTTGCTGTTAATTTTAACTGGAACCTTTTGGATGATATCCAATTATTCATTTTATTGTAGTGCATGCTCCTATTTGCTTTTTCTATAAGTTGTCAGCATATAATATTAATTGTCTTACTGTTCCCTACACGTGTCTTTCAGGAAAAAATTGGAAAATTTTATTTCAGAAGCTCTACTAGATAGAATAAAAAATTTTCCAATGGTTTTGTTTGAATGTGAAGCCTGGAAAGCCATTGGACGTGAATGTATCCCTGAGCATGAAAGGAGAAAGGTGGTATCCTAGCATGTTTGATGGTCTCATTTATTTTGGATGAAATCTGTTGGTGCAAAATTAATTGTATCTGTCTTTTGCTCAAGGTAAATTGCATTTCTATAGGCGCATTTGGAAGAACCCAAACGTTGTAATTGTATTTGTATGATTGTATTGAGTGATGATTAAGAAACAAAACATAGTCTGTTAGAAAATTTGTCATAAATTTACATAACATCTTTATTGTTTTATTCCAATTTAATGATATTCTGAAATAATGCTTAATTTGATCATCTGAAATGAGATCTTGGTAATGAACCCTCTTATCAGTGGTGTAAAGAATAATTTCTCTTGTTGGGTACAAAATATTTGTTTTCAAAATACCATGAACATTATTTTATAAGCACGGGCGCATGTATATATATATATATATATAAATCATAAAATTTTAGAAGGGTATATATTGATTTATTTTGTGTAAAATTTACATTTACGTTAGCAAAAAAATATGATATATGAAGACATCGTAAACATTTGGAGAGGCATGTTCCCCCGCATGCCCCTGCTTAAATCTGCCCTTGTCCTAATGCTACATAGGGTGCTTTTTGGATATCAATCATAATTTTGTTGATTAATTTTGTCATTATTTTTTGTCAGGTTCTATGTCATGATTGTTTTAGTTCTCTTTTGCTAGCTTTTAGTCATTTTTAGTCAGTTGTCATTTAGGATTAATTGAATATTTTTTACTTATGCAATGTTAGTTTTCTCGTTATGAATATGTCTTATTAATGTAAATTGGGGATAGTGATATATAATTTTGATGATGGTGAATGAAATGTTTTGAGTTATAGTTTTATGAGATTTCAACCCCTTCTTAATGTTTGAGGATTCACATTTCCTCCCATGCTTTGATGATGCCACTGTTCTGAAAAATCAGCATTAGCAACTTGATAATTATTTCATTATTTGTATATCTTTCTTTTCTTGTCCTTTTCCTCTCTTAAATCCTAGATTTCCATATTTTTGCTATGTACCTGTCGTCAAAATCATGACTTTGACTAGATCTTTTTTGAATTATGATTCTTTTATAACAAACATTTAAATTAATTATACATGTGATATTTTTCTATAATCCATTTAATGGAACACTTATTCTTATTTGAGGTGGGAAGAGAGTAGAAGTAAAATTAATTTTCAAATGTTTGTCATGTATTCTTAAATTTTTAATTGCTAAATCAATAAGAAAAATTCATGCTTTCTCAAAATTGTATTAAAAAATTTTAGAATGTTTTAAATTCTCATGGTGGATGGAATGGAGATTCTTAGTTCTTGAAAGTCAAATTTCCATGTTAATAAACAGAAGCCTTTGGTTGTTTTTGTTCCTACCATGGAAATTGCTTAATTGTACATGCATTCGGGGGCTATTTGGTTTGCTGCGCATGTGATGCCGCATAAATTAAACCCCAACAAATTATGCAACCAACTCAGGCCATATTTATTTAAGAAGGGATTCCTCAGGAAATGAGCAATGGAGTAATTTTTTTGACTAATTTTTAAATCATATGAAATGAATTTAGTTTGCATATAAATATTTTACATCACATCAATTTTATTTCAAACTAATCAACCCTTGCTGCTTGGAGAGTTTTTTCATTTCACATAAGCTTGTGGTTAGTTTTTTTTTGTTAAAATCTAGTTTTTATTGACTATTCATTTTCCAAATATGCATTCGTATGTTTATGCTTCTCCTCTAGTTTAGTAGAATCTCATGAATTATCTTTTCTTCAATTTTGTAGAATGTGGACTGGGATTCCGGAAAACCATATGTATATCACTGTCATGTCTATTCTAATGGAGAATTCACATTTAAGGTGATTTGCATTCATTCAAAGAAGCTTGTACTTATTGGCCTTCAAAGGAATTTGTTGAGGCAGTTTTTATCTATTTTTTTAATGTTATATAACTAGAAAGTGGATGGCTTTCGTCAGGGACCATATATTCAAAACACAGGGACTCATCTTCAAAGGGTGTTGGGTGATGATAATATACTTTTAGTGAAGTTTGCGGAAGAAAAGGATAACAATTCTACAAGAAGCTATGAAAGATTAAATCCTTTCTTCCAGAAGCTTGCAGAAGACGGTATTGCTGTGGGTTTGCGCCATTATAAATTCTTTGGTAATTTTTCTTTGGCAATTTGTTTGTATACTGCTAAATTCTTGGATAAAGCAAGTGTAATTTCATTATCCTGATCATTATGATGATTGTCATATGCAGTTTACCAGGTTTCTCTCTATTTGTGCCATTATCCAATTTGTTTGTTGAAGTCTGCAGTGTTACTATTCTTTTTCTATTATTGCACAGCAATGGCAATAGATGATCGAAGGCACTTTAAACATTTTCTTATTCATTATACGTATGTAGAATAGACTTGACAAGGGTTCGAATGAGGGCCTCCTCAATGTGATTATGCATGCAAGATCAGTCTTTCCTTGGATTTAGTTTATTTTAACCTTACTGCGTTTGATGTTATATCTTGGTCTTTCGTGATATAGGGTCAAGATTTCTTATTGGAGAAAGATCTCATGCTTAAATATTTCTCCTAGTTGCATGAGAGCAATTTTGATTAAGGAGATTTCTTAGTCTCAATTTTCCTTGAATTTAGCATTTATGTTTGTATATGATTGATTAGGGGGTAGTTTGGGTGAGTGGAGGTAAACTTGATCAAAATTTCATAGTTTTCTCTCTCCACCTTTATTATTGAACCCAATTTTCCGCATTAGACGACTTTGAGCCAAATTACTTGATCAACGACCATAAGTTGCCTCCATTTAGATGTCTAGGAAAGATCAGAATTGAGATGTATTCTGAACATCTTTTTAAGATTAGCTTAAGCTTTTTATTGCTAGAAGCTTATTATACTAAAATTTTGAAATTTTGAAAACAAGAATTTCAAAAGTTGTTTGATATTCAAAGACTGATGATTGTTGAGTTAATTTGGAGAGATTGTTATGTAATCTTCGTAAGAAGATATATGAAAACATTGTTTGTAATGACATCATGAATTTGGGTAAAGGAGGAGTTTGACCTTTCATGCGAATCCATTGATACCATGTAGCCGTAGAATCTTGAAGATGAAATGAAGTAATTTTTACATAGTAGTAATCTGTTGTATTATGAAAATAAAAATATTCTTGGGTTTTAAAGATCCAAGTTTCCACGTTGAAATTGTTAAATTGAGGAAGTTTGATTTTCATATTTTTAAGAAAAGGTAAACCTGCATTGGCCGACAATGTTGAGGAGATGGAAATTGGGCAGCTGATTCAAGAATCCCGATGAATGGCGGTGGTTCTTACCTGTAACTGATAGAACTAGACTATTTTTGGAAGGAGAATCATGATCTTGATGCTGAAATGAGTTTCCAAAAGCTTTCTTAGGCGATGGCTCGATGGAGAGAGAGGCAGAGAACTGAAAGGCTGCAGGCTTTGGTGAGGAGATTTGCACCCTTACTGGTTCTTGACCTGAAAAAGGAAGGCTGCCAGCAGATTCTTTGAAAGGCAGCAGTTGACGGAAGATCTTTAGTTGAAATGGAGAGCTGTTGTTCTTGAGAAAAAAAATAGTAGACGGCTGAAGGCAGGTTGCTTCTGGCGAGGCCTTAGACTGATAGGAATGCCATGGCATATAAGCTGTACAGGCGGGGACATTTCCTGAAAATGGAGTGGCTGGAATAGTGAAGTCTAAGGAATTGGAATGATGGATTCTTGGAATTGGCAGAAATCTGAAAAAACTGCTGGATGAACCATCTGTTGGTTTGAGAGTCTCTCAATGAAATAACCATGCTTCTTGATTGAATCAAGGAGAGAACACCTTTCAAGTTGGTGGAGATTTTTAGAGGAAGAAGAAGAGGAAAAAGAAGAGAAAACGGAAGAGAGAAAACTTGATTGTTTTTCCTAAACACGAATTAAAGCAAGTGGGCGTATTTATAGATTCGTACGAGTAATTAAAAAGGGACCAGCTGTCTAAATAATAATAAACCAGGTTACAATACTAAACCGGCTGCTATGGGTTCATTTCTTAAAACTATGGGTTGGTTCACTCTTTAGACCGATTCTAGACGGCCTGTACACTATAAGCTTTGAATTGTTCTCATGAGCTTGTTCTTCTGAGTTATGGATCCATTCTTCACTTTGCTGTATCAATGTTTAAAATTGCGTATTCGGGTATTGAGGCGTTTTTCATTCGTGAGGCGAGGCGTAAGCCTCAAGGCGTAAACCTCAAAATCAAAAGATTGCGTAACATAAAATGATAAATTTTTTATATAATATATACTAATGAGTGAATAATATAAAACATAAAAAAAAACATGAGATATGAAGTGAAATCAAAATATCCCAATAATAAGACAACATGAAATATAGTTCAACTCAAAATTCTATCTTTCCCAAATCCCAGTATTCTTTTCATTAACATATAATTCTAATTTCCAAAAATAAATAGCAATGACATATCACATAAGAACTCATAAGTCATCAGCACTGTCATCACTAAGGATTTCTTCATTTGAATCATCATTATGATGAACTGCTCTCTCCCCTTCCTCCTCTCCTATAGAGCCCAATGTCGGGCATTTACTTTAAGATTTATGTAAGTTTTAATATATATAGCGTGAGGCGAGGCGGGCTTCAAGGCGGGCCTCAACCAAATTGAGGCGCAAGCCTCATAAAAAAAACTTGAGGCATAAGCATCGAGGCGTTTTTTACTGAAATTGCGCAAAGGCGGGCCTCAGGGCGAGCCTCATATTGCGCAATTTTAAACCATGTGTTGTATTTTATTTGCATCCAAGGGGATATATTGGTGCATAACGGTTCCCCTGGGAAACACTTAAATCTTGAAACTTAATAGAAATGAATGCACAAGAACACACATTTTTAAAATGATTATGTTATTACTGCAATGATAACATTTAGGATATGGATATCATGAAGATGGTAACGGATGCGAATTTCATTCTTTCTGTATGTTTGACAATTTACACTAAAATTTATGTTTTCCTTATTATAGGCGAGCTTTGTTTCAAATTCCAGATTATGCATCTCAGATTTCTCTGAGTCATATTTCCTTTTCATTGAAATTTTTCACTTTTATTTTTTTTTTCTCCAAAATGTAGTGATGATTGATACCTTCTTTGTTTGTTCCTTTCCAAGTTTTTAAAGATGGTGGCAAAGAGGAGAAGAAGAAATCCCCAACTTCATCACCTGTCAAGTGTTATTTTGTCCGAACAGCATCATGTTGGGCGATGGATGAGGATAAACCTTATATACTGTTCAATAAGTCGATCAGTGAAGCGCGGACCATTTTTATGCATGTACATACAGTTTCATCGTTAAATAAATATATGCTCAGGTGAGCAGCTTGTTTGATTCTGTACATGCATGCATGCAAAATTGTATTTGAAGATGAGTATGTTTGGATTTATTTTGTGTATTGGATTTGATCTAGGTTCACTTTTTGATTTAGTTTTTACTTAGGCAGAAGCCTATGACATTGAATTCACGTGGTTCTTTTTGTTTAATAGTATTATTCAAAATGCCTGCAGGTTTTCTTTGATATTGTCTAAAACAATAAAGTTTGATGTTGACCTTGCATCTGTTAATGTCCAAGTGATAGATGACATCCCATGCCGTGTATGCATCTTTATCCCCTTCTTCCCCCTACACAAAGAATCTAATCTTTGATGCTTCTGATGTTTCAATTCTAAATATTACCTCCCTTATTTAAAATTAAATATTGAGAGAATGTCACTGCTTGGCAGTTATTTATTTATTTTTTTGGTTTGGTTTTGCTTGGTTCATGAAATTGTGCATCACCTAAAAAGTATTTATCATTTATCAGGATGAATATGGACATGTTGTATATAATGAAGATGGTGAATGCATGATTCATACTGATGGAACAGGGTTTATCTCCGAAGATCTGGCCATGAAGTGCCCTAAGAATATATTTAAGGGCCAGTGTTTAAATACGAATAATATGAAGGTTAGGTTTGTATTGATTATTAACTGTTAACATAATGAGATGTTAAAGCATATTGAAACTTATGTGCAATGAAGATATGTATTTTACAGTTTGGAATTCCATTTAGTCTCTCGTTAGAATTATTTTTTATAAAGAGGGTGGGCTTGGAGTAGTGGTTAAGTCGCCTTTGGTCTATTCTAGATCTCTCAAATTTAAGTAATGGCCCTTTCCCTAGACCCTTAATTAGTAACAACAGCTCCATGGACTTCACCCACCTTTTTTTTGGTTTACTTGCATTGAATTTATTGATGTTGTTAAATTGAAACACATTCTTCTTCTGGCTCATGTGTATATAATGGATTAAAACATTTGCCATGAACACGAAGTTTGCTGGAAAAGTTTTGGAAAGTCAAAATAGCATAGTTCATTATTTATTCAAAAAAAAAGAAAAAAAGCATTTCTCATGTTTTTTTTGTTTTCCTTTGTGTTTTCAATTATTCAATTTAGATAGAAAAAAAAGACATGTTCAATAGTGTTGTGTAAGCACGTTCACTTTGCTTTTGCTTGTTTTTGTAGGAAAAATAAAAGTCAAATTTCAGTGAAATGACATTCTTAGGTTCTGTTTCGAACTATTAAAAGAATTTTTTACTCAGTTATTTCTTTTGCAGTTTATAATTGATCTTATGATTTATTAACGTAACGTGATAAGAAAGGATCCTTCCGGTTCCTAGCATTCCAGTTATTTTGAAATCAATATGTGGAAACTGTTTCATGTGTTAAAATGTTGTACAGCATGGGCTTTTATGAATTAATTGCTTGTAATTATCCTTCTATAAGAGTATGATTCTACTTCTATCCTACTCAAGGCTTTTTTTTCTAGATTTATTCTAGCTCATCTTTTATAAAAAAATGAATTATATGGTAGATCATGAACATATTTAGTGGTTAAGTCCACTCTATCTGTCTCAATGATAGTAAAAGATCATTATTATGTTGTTGATAATTATTTACCCCAACACCAACTCCAGAGTCGAGTTAACTATGCATGACAAAAACCATAGGCAAAGAGGCATGACGTCGCACAAAGGCCACTCGAAGCGCATTGATCAAAAACCCAAATTGTTGAAATGACATCCGTTCATGAAACAAACATTGCTTGAGCATTTGGGAAAACTGAAACAGCTAAAATCAATGTTGATATTGGCCAGGGTATTCTATCGATGAAAATCAAAATTTCATGCGAGCGGATCAAGGTAAAATTGAAATGTGCTAACAACGACGATTTGACGTGCCAATTGAGACACAACTAATAGAAATAAATATTTATTTTTAAAAAAGTTTTTAGTGATTATTTTAGGTTTAAAATTAATTTAACAAAAAAAATCCAAAACCTAAATATCCTAAACCCTAAAACCCCCTAGATACTCCCTAATATTTATTACCCCTAGATAATCCCTAATATATATTCCAAATATCATGTCAAACTCTTGAAATGATAAAACATTTAATTTTGCTTCAAACTCTCTTTTATTTATTTTGAAAGTCACTTGACATTTATCATTTATATTCATAATAGATTCATTTGACATCAAAACTTCTAAAGTTGCATTTATTTCATAAGCATTAATCCTATTGATTTAACAAATATTTTTGAAATGAAAGAGTGTAAAGCTCCTGTATCAAAAAGGATCTATACAGACTTTTCTTGAATCATTACCATACCTATAAAATTTACATGAAAATAACATAAGCATACATCATTCCTTTAATCATGTTTTTATAATACACATTTATTCATTTTCATTGTTATTACCTATAATCACTTTAGGTGAATCTTTAGCATCCTTATGAGTTAATGCATATACTCTAGGCAGAGTATTCTATCGGCCTTAACTTGATCATGGAGTAGAAGCAGCTGATTCTAACGTTTTGATCTTCCAACATCTCTGAGATCCAGTGTTTATCCTTGACTCTCCAGCTGGTCTTTTCCCCAAAGTATGACATTTCTTGACTATGTGACCTTGTTGATGACACTAGAAGCAAGTATTTGTACCAAATAAATATTCTTCTTTATGTTGCCTTCCACACTTGCTAGAACTGTTCACACTTGAACTGTCACTGCTACTGGACTTAGTCTTCTTCCAATTAAACTTACCAGCTTGTGAAAGGGGCTTGCTATGTGAATCCTGTGAAGCTCCTATTACTTCACCACTTTTCCTCTTTTGAAAGTCACATGTCCTTTGAGTGTTTTGCAGGTCCATCTCTACCCTCCTAGCCCTTTCCACCAACACTGAGTAATCTTCAATTCTAAGTGGAACAAGAAGCTGCCTAATTATATCCTTCAATCCAGATAAGAATTCGTGACATTTATCCTCTACAGTATATATTAATTGAGGATCATATTTGGATAATGTTGTAAATTTAGTTTCATACTTTATAACTGATCTATCTTCCTGCACCAGTCTCATAAATTTATCTTGCATCTGCCTCCTTGCAGAAGGAGGCACGAACCAATCTCTGAACATTTATGTAAAATCATTCCACTTAATTTGTATATCAGAAATTCCTCCAGTTTTATTTTTATGCTGACCTCTCCACTATCTTTCAGCTTCTCCATCAAGTACAAAGGGGCTGCCAAAGAAACTTTCCTCTCCACTGGACAAAACATTCATTCTAAAATCTTTTCAATAATTAGTAACTAGTTTTTAGCTTCAATTGGTCCCTCAACTCCCTTAAATAATGGTGGTCTCATATCTTGAAACAATTTATACTTATCCATATGCATTCCACCACTACTACTACTTCCTGATGGTTGATTCCTTAAGTTTTGAATCAACTAAGTCATAGTTGTCATCATTTGTGTCAGTGCATCAGGGTTAACAGTAACATTAGGCACTTGCCTTTCCACTTTCTCCACTTTCTCCTTTTATCCATGTTGACTAACGTATAATACCCAAAGAAAAGAAATGAAGAAATACCTAATACTCGGTGAATCCACAAAATCATGCCGAAATCCCGCTCGATCCTTTGTAAAACGGCGCCGTTTGCGTCATTTCCCGGAACTCCTGCGCGAATCCTGTGATTCTCTCCTCGATCGAACCCCGTTCGCCTCTATAAAACAAAGCCGAACCCACTGCTCCTTCCACGCTCGACCCCAGCTCCCGTAACTATTCTCTCGTTCCACTTCCACACACGACTGCTCTCTGTCTCCCGATTTCCTTAGCGGCTCCAGCTCTGACACTTCTCCCATACCCGAAACCTTCCTCCATCGATCCTCTGTCCGTGCCGATCCCAAGCAGAGAGAGAGAGAGAGAGAGAGAGAGAGAGAGAGAGGGAGAGAGAGAGTGCTGAGCTCTTACCTGTACCGATCTCCCCTAGCCATTGCTCCGTCTGATCCTATCCAGAGAGCCGATTGAACCCTTAGCCGGATCTCCTATCTCTCCCGTCGCCTCCTCCCTTACCGTTCGACTTTGCTCCCTCCGTCGACCTCATCCTTCCAATTGGACCGGAAGTTATAACATTTTGATCGGAAGCCACAACAGGAGCTCCTTGGCTGTGAAGGTAACTCCCTCCCCTTCAGCTCGCTTCTTCGGCCAAGTCCCGTAAAACCGAGAACAAAGAGCAGTAGGGAGAGGAGGGATTTGATTTTCTTTTTAATATTATAATTAATTATAATTATTAGTATTTATAATTAATTATAATTGATTATTAATTAAGTACAATTAATTAATTAAATATAATTAATTAATGATTAATTATTTAATTATAATTAATCTTTATTAATTATAATTAATTATTAATTAGTTATAACTTTAATTAATAAATTAATTATAATTAATTAATAAACTACTGATTATAATTTTTTAAT